TCTCCACATTCTTAGCAGCCCAGATGGCAGCTTTTAGAGTGGTAGTTTGCTTGACCATTGGACCGAAGTCCGCTGGTAATCCGAGGGCAAATTTGTTAACCTTGGAGAGTTCAGTTGGGACGAGGTGTGGAACAAGCTTCATTTTCTCAGTAAAGCTTGCAGCGTATTCAGTAACGCTCATTCTTCCCTTCTTTAGATTCTGGAATTCGTTGCTGATCTCCAGAAGATCCTGCTCAGAGCAGTATTGCATCTTCAACTGTACCAGAAAATCCTCCCACGACATTTTGCTTGCTTCACCTTTGGGCATTGAATCAGCTAATAGCTTCCACCAGCTTAGTACTCCAGATTTCAATTGAGGAACTGCAAGAGCAGTCTTCTGCCTATTGCTACACTCGCAACTCTCAAACATTGTCTCCATCTCAGAGATCCAGTTCATGACTTCCACCGGCGTCGGGCTTCCGGATAGACTCGGTCGCTTGGATGCCATGAAATCCTTGTATTTGCATCCACGTCCATCATTTCCTCCATCCTGGTGGTTTTGCCTAACTATCGGTGGGTTGGCTTGACCAATAGTCCCACTGTAGTTTCCTTCTTCAGTCTGCCCTTCGTTCAACTCGGGCTGTTCGATCTAAATAGTCGCTTCCTCTCGATTTTGCTAAGAGCAAACGCCTGGTTTCCTCCATTTGACGATCCAACATTGCCTGGATCATCGCTTGCACTCCGGCCATCGTTATTGGTCCGGCAGTGGCTTCCACAACTGGTATTTGCTCGATCACGGGGGGTTGGTGTCCGTTCCCATTTGCGTTTACGTTTCCGCTACGGGTCCTTACCATCTTGATCTATACACCGAATAAGGTGGATTTAGATCTTTATTTAGGAGAGACGTTTTAAATCGTCCTTATCACTCCGAAACGTTTACATGCTAGTTCTAATAGCGTAGTCGTACGTTTAGAATCCTAAACACATAAGGTTTCCAGATCCGGTCGGCAACAGACCATAGATCCGAACAAAATAACAGCATATCATGCATAAAGCATTTAGCACATAAAAGCATTTTAGGCACAATTCCTAAAATAAGCTAGTGCTCACACCTCACAATCATCGCTTAGCATTCTAAGTTTAAGTCTAGAAATCCTACAAATTCCTAGTTCGCTTAAACTAATGCTCTGATACCAACTGTGACATCCCCAAAATCACGGCCAGAAAAGACCGGTTTTGTTTATACTTTATTTCAAAATCAGAGTTATCTTTTAATAAAAGGATTGCGGAATTTGTCCCAAAACAATAATATGATAAAGATTTATCAAAAGCATTTCCATAGAAATGTATTTCATTAAAAGACTCGGGATGTCATGTTCGTACAGATCAAAAGTATAAACAGTACAATATAAGCCTTACTACATTATTTCATATCTACAGGCCTATATCCGTAATCCCTCGTCCAAAACATCACACCTATGCTCATGCGCCACTACCTGTAATACATAAAACTGAGTGGGTCAGGCTTGGGAGCCTGGTGAGCACATAGGGTTTTCAACCCACAATAAATAAGTTTATTAATTTCATCAATCAACAATAACCCGATTACCCGTTCCCGTTATCCTCACTTTACGTCCCTAAACACCTATCATAAGGGACCTAGCCTAAGGATCATCATCGGGACGGACACTACTGCTAAGGGGATTCCTCAGCAATAAATGTCCTAATAGGCAACCATGTGGGGGATGGAGTACACCGGTGAACACATCGTTCACAACACCTACAGGTTGCGAGCCTGCTAGTGTTCCACTGGACTGTCTAGAAGAGTCTGTGGTCGTCATCTATACTCCGCTAGATGACTGGATCAACAACAACAACATCGAGGCCTCTCATCATTTTATCACACATCACCTATTACATCTACCCATGTTTTACCCCAACATTTTCGTAGATATAAAATACATATACAGTTTAAATCATTGAAAACATGTATAACAACGTTCATCTAGCATAGATAGCAAGTATTCAGATAATATGCACACATAGCACGTAATTTATATAAAATACTTCATATATATATGTAAGTTGGAAGTAACTATGCACTCACTTGAGTAGGTGGTGACTCAGCACTCGGACAGCGCTTCGATACTCTCAAAACGATATTCCTTCGATAAAACCTAGTATCGATACCACTAGGGTTTAGTTTAATGATAACCGCGACAAATTAATTAGTCTGAGTATTATTAAGTGTTAATAACGCTCAATATAACTCATAATAATAGCCCAAATAATTATTTTAAGGACCTAATAACATTCCTATAATTATTTGAAAGCTATATTAAAAATTGCGTAAGCATAGCATACTTACAGCGAATTTTATCGAAAACCGGGACTTAATTAGAGCAGCGTTTCGAAACCGAAAAACTCCTCTTTCTCGGGACTCTGGGAGCCTCGGGGCTTCCTTAGGGTTCTAGGGGTTTAACTAGGGCTTAGGGGTGGTTTGGAACCTTAGAGAGAGAAAGAAACTAGAGAGAGAATGAGAAATGGTGTGAAAAATGAGGGCACCTTCGGCCCCCTTTTATAGGCGCGAGGGCCTCGGATACGCGGCGCGTCCAGCAGCGCTACGCGGGGCGTAGCTCGGAGGTGGCTGCCAGCTCGCAACAGCTGGCTCGCACTCGGACTCGGACGGATAAGGCCGAAGGTACACGGGGCGTACCGGACCTCGTACGCGGGGCGTAATGCGAGTTGTCGTGGCGCGATCCGGAGCGAAGCCTTGGTCAGCAAGCAACGGCTCAGAAGCGGCCACGTCATCATCTTCGCAACAGGTTTCGCATTTTCGAGTCCTAACTTCAAAAATTCGTAACTTTCGCATACGAGCTCCGTTTTTGACGTTCTTTATATCCACGCGAAGGTGGGAACATACTCTACAACTTTCGTTTAGACTTCGTTGGCTAATTTTGACTCGATTTTAAATTTTATTTTATCAACGGGTCGGGATAGGATTGGTCTGTTAAATCCTCATAACTTCTTCATCCGACATCCGTTTTCGCCCATCTTTTTCTCGTTACGCTACTCTTAACGAGATCTTCGATTCTTGTTTAGGTCGTGTGGGCTAAAAACCGCTCGATCAAACATTTGAATTTCGGGCTGTACACTGCTAGTCCGAAACTTCGAAAAATCGTAACTTCTTCATACGAAGTCAGATTTGGGCGTTCTTTTTATCGATGTTCTTAGGTTAACATAATCTACGACTTTTGTTTATATTTCTAAGGCTAAAAAGTCATCTATCGTAAATTCACTATTTACGTTTCCCGGTGTCGTGCCGGTTTTGCCGTAAAACTTCGGCGGGCCATAACTTCTTCGTTATAGCTCGGATTTCGGCGTTCTTTATATGTACGGAAACCTTGAGACATATTCTACAACTTTATGTAGAGATATCGGGATTATCTCACACTTTAATTTTGACGCTCATTTTTATTTTTTATTAATTATACATTTATAATTAAACAATAAACACACAATCACACATAATTCAAATAATACTCAAATATTTCATATTTATTACTTCAAAAAGAGTTACAATAGTTGACCTAGACTATTACATTGACAAAAATGCTTAGCCCTGAAAACCCGGGCGTTACAGCATTGGGGCAACGTGGCCGAACCGGAGCCTAGCAGCCGGGTACGCAGGGCGTACGTCGGTACGCTGGGCGTACGAGGGATCGGACCGGTGACTCCTTCTTCGGATAATACCGGGCTTTAATTTAATTTATATTTAAATTAATTAACAAACTTCAAAAATTCATACCTTTCTCATACGAACTCCGTTTTCGACGTTCTTTATATCCACGCGAAGGTGAGACTACGGTCTACAGCTTTCGTTTAGACTCCGTCGGCTAGTTTTGAATTATTTTTAATATTATATTTTTAACAGGCCGGGATAGGAAAAGTCCGTTAAAATTCCATAACTTCTTCATCCGACGTCCGTTTTCGTCAGACTTTTTACCGTTGCGCTAGTATTGTTGAGCCCTTCGATTCTCATTTATATTGTGTCAGCTAAAAGTCTCTCGATCTCTATTTCGAGTATATAGTTGTCTACTGTTATATTTGTAACTTAGAAAAATCACAACTTCCTCATACGAAGTCAGATTTGGACGTTCTTTTTATGTACGGCTACGGTTTGATGATATCTAAAACTTTAATTTAGATATATAAGGCTAAAAATTATTGTATTGAAACTTCACGTTTTACATCTATCAGTGTTGCTGGTTTTGCCGAAAATCTTCGGTTGGTCATAACTTCTTCGTTATAACTCGGATTCTAGGGTTCTTTATACGTACAAAAACCTTGATACGATTCCTACTGCTTTATTTAACCCAAATAAGATTTTAGGAAAGTTTTAATTTTTACCTATATTTGACTGATGTTAATTCATTGCCTCGAAATATCAGGTTGTCACAAACAAGAATATCTCGTTCGCAACGGTATCACTAAACTCCGCCTACATGTATCACAATCATCTCTAATTAATAATTTTTAGTAACTACTCCGAGATGTTAAGCTAATTCGTCTACCGAATCTAAAAAGTGTGAAAAGACCATTTTACCCCTCTATGGTCTCCAAACTCCACAATTGTCCAAACCCTATAATTCAACGAAAGTCAACACTCAAGTCAACATTACATGTTGACTAAACCCCTTGAGTTTTCTAGTTATTTCTCAAGTCAGTCGATTTCAATGCTCCAAACTCCAGATCTAACCTCCTAGCATGGAGTTACCACGTAACGTTGCTAGCTTTACATACATGCAAGGCCTCACAAGGCTAGAACACTCAAAACTATACCCAAAAAGGGGTTTAGGCCAAGAAGAAGGATCAAGCTCCATAAAGCTTGAGACTTTATGCGTAAAAGGGTCTAGAGGAGTCCAAATCTGCAACCACATCCTCTAGACATGCTTAACGTGAGAATGGTCCTTATTTTTGCACCAAAATGTCCATAACTCACATAAGAAAAGATCTAAGAAATGGTGAGTCGAGGTAAGGACTTTTTACCTCCAAATAGATGCTACAACTGTATGAAAGCTGGATCTAAAGGCTCTTTCCTGTTCCAAGTTCTTCACTCTTCAAGCTTTTTCAAGGAAATGAGCACTTTTGGCTTTACACACTCAAAATATCGGTTAACTCACTAGGGTTTCTGTTTGGACGTGATAAGGTGATGAGGGAGGCAAAAATGAAGGCTTAAGGTCCTTTAAATAGGGCACAAACCCTAAAATCTAGGGTTTTTAAACTCGGATCCTACTCGTCGAGTAGACTTCAAGAGTCACACGGCCATTTAGCACTCTACTCGTCGAGTTGGGGCCTCCAACTCGTCGAGTCGCTATGACAACATGAATATAAATTTATTAAATATATTACCTGAGAGTCGGGATGTTACAAAAAAAAAATCATTCCTTGACAAATAGGAGAAGGATGTGGTTGGTTTGATTGCTAAAGAGCAAGAGAAGAGGCAGATTGCAATTTCTTTTGACTGTGAAACATTTAATGCGGATGAAGCAGCAGAAGGGCATATTAGGCAGTTCAAGCACGAATTAATTGGATTGGATGTTGTTGGTAAGCATATCTTCAAACTCAGTGCAGTTAATATTGGGAAGATGAGCACCATGGGTTTGGACTTCAAAGCAGAAGTGGGATTTTTGGAGCCAAGTTCCTAAACTTATGATCCAAACAACATTTTTGATCCAAGTAGAAATCTACCCTTTGTTAAAATTTGTTGATATAAAATCTCTCAATGTTAGATTTAATGAATCGTTTGATGATAAACATGGTTAATGAATCTAACTACGACTACAATGGTCCCTAAATTATATGAAAGTACAAAAGTAGATATAAGTATGCTAACAATCAAATTTTATGATTTATTATATGGAAAAGCCAGTCAAATATTACAAAAGTTGTCATTACAAACACTATTTACATTTCAAACTTTGTCATTAGAAAAAGTAATAAATTATTTAAAAAAGAGTAAATGGAACATTTCTTTCATTGCTTATCCAAGTTCATGATTGTTTGGTTTTTATTTTTTTGACTGTGACTTTACAGGGCATCGGTGTTATCTAGAGTATCCAAAGCTTTGCTCGGAAAATTGGTCAAACCGAAGTTCCATAGAAATATTTATTGTGTTGTTGTTTACAAACCCACCTAGGTATGGGACAGGGGCAATTCTGTCTTTTTTTGTCTATAAATTAGTTTGTGTTTATATACTGCTATGGCTAGTGAAACTTCTGAAGAGCTTCCTGAGGCTGTAAGGAAAGAGAGCTTAAAGCAAACTACAAAGTCAAAGGGAGATGGACAGGTAGTTTCTTGCAACATTTATCTAAATTGCTTTTGGTCTCAACCTTAGAAAGACACATCAGCTTTTGGAATCAGATGATGAGGATGATGTAAGTCTCAATCCTTCTTTTTATCGTTGCATAAACAAGAATACTTTTCTACCGATTTTATCATTCATGTCGATAAACTGATGAACAGCCGCAGATTATATTATACAAATATGTTTGTGTTTTTAAATAAATAATCCAATTTGTGTGTTTGAACTGTATGTTGTCTAATAAACAATGCAATTAAAAACCAAAAATTTTGACCCATGCGTAGCATCGGTGCCTCTTTCCTAGTTAGTAGTTAAAAGTAAATAAAATATATACTGTAATTGATTCGTTAAAAACCGGCTTCAAATCAATACTCAAAATATTTGGTTTATAGAAAAATATCCGGAGTTACATTATTTTCCAGATAACTAAATCACTAATTAACTTTCAACTCTTTTGTCGATTATATTGAATTTCATTACATGATGATGACGTAGCAGTATAGCGCAAATGTTTAAAAACAAATTATTTTAAAGTTAGATACTGTAAAACTAGAAGTTGTGTTTTCCAATGAAAGTATTTATTAAATATATAATTTCACATTTAGCAGAATTTTTGACTCTCACTGCTTATTTGCGAAATTTTAATTTTCCTTTTTTCTATAATAGTGTTTCTCGCAAATTTAATGAATTCTACAAATATTTCACTTTTTCAGGAGAAGGTATATATACCAAAGTAAATCTCAATTTGCATAGCCAATGTATGAAATACGTAGTCATTTAGTTTAAGTTTTGAAAAAGATCGTTATCTTGTGTTCCATTTATTTGGTAATTTTTGTGTCAAACTCTTTTTGAAAATAAGTACGATTGTGATTATCAGCTTATTCCTTGATCAGGCATCAATTTAGTATTCGTTACCACGCAAATTGATGATTGTACACGAGAAAAAAAAAAGCTTTTTCGGTGCTCGTATGTGGAAATGACCAGTGTAACAAATGCAATGCAGCCAAAGTAATTATTTATTTAGCTCATTTAATGAGATGTCATTGCTGTTGTTACAATTAGTAAGGGTTTTTTTGGAGCCCCACTTCCATACCCATTGGCTCTCTTCTATTACTACCTGTTAAAGAACCTACTGTATTTTTCTAGATATGTATTGTATTTCTAGTTTATATGGCCCATTTTATTGTGGCCATTTTCCTTTGTATCTTCTTCTTCCATCCTAATAAATAAGTATTCTTTTGCCACGTGACAATTGCTAAGCCCCTCCCAAACGCTAATTTTTCGGCTCAAAATTACCAAGTGAAGTTCCGATAATGCCCTTTGTGCTTATTAGTACCTCATCCGCCTTCATTCTCGCTCTTGTGTTGGATATAATTAAGAGTTTATATTTGAGGTTTGAATTCTAATTGTCTGAGTGGGTAGACGGATTGATGGGGGAGTAAGAGGAAAGATTGTTTTGTTGTGATGCACTTCATATGAGGAAAGATTGTTTTATTGTGCTCCTTGTTTTTACTAATTTCAAATGGAGTATGAAAGGAGATTTGGTGTTTTTATGCTTTTGTATATGTACTTAACTTTTGATGATCACTGTTTTTCATCAATTATGATCCACCAATAATTTAAATCGAACGCTACTATGAAGAAAACTGGTAGGTTTTATGGTTTTATTTATTTATTTTATATATTTGCTAAAGGTTTCAGAAGGTTAGATGTATTTAAATGTATTTAAGAAGAAAACTGGTAGTTGTTATGGTTTTATTTATTTATTCTATATATTTGCTAAAGGTTTCACATGGTTAGATGTATTGGACTTTTCTCCAGTAATTATGGTTTTGTATTCTTGGTTTCACATAAATAGCCTTTGTTTCAAATTTAGTTTTTTTTCATTATTATTTCTATGTCAAAATGAACCATATAATTTGATCCGTTCATATGTTTATATCATATATGCAAAATTCTTGTGACTAAATGTGTATATACAGGGTAACGTGCTTGGATTAGGTGATAGAATTAAGTTGAAATTGTAAGGAGGATATGGGTTCAGAAGGTCGAGAGATAATAATTGTTGATTCTACTTGTATCAAATATAGTTGTAAGCCTATTTTCACCCCTTACATTCTCAATGCTCTATCTTGCTCACTCTTTCAATTTTTTAAGAATCTACCAGTTGCATCCTTCTACACTAAAAGACTCCATTACCTAGGGTGCACCTTATTTCTCCTATCTTACCACTTTGACTCCACAATGAATATCTACTGCCACTGCCAATAAAGAAACACATAGGATTGCAACCTAAATGCAGTCTAATTACTAAACTAAGTTATCAACTCGATGCTTAAATGGTAGTTTTTTAGAACAAATTTAACCAGCCCTTCAAAAACTTTAAGCTAAAGTTTAGGTGTTATTAGATATTTATGGTTTGTAATTAGAAATTTAATCAACTTGTTAAAAGCTAAACTTCACTTTTTATGTGAATTTTAATTGACCCAATAAATATCTAAAGCTAAATTTAAGTTCAAATCTTCATTAAAACGAACAAGTTCAAGATTTGAAGCTAACGTTTTAACCATCAAATGTTTTAATGCAAAGTTTAGCCCTGTCATTTGAAGTTTAGTCAACCATGAAATGTAATTTCTAAAAACAATTTGGATCCAACTATAGGGATGTAATCTGTATATAATTCTTTTATTAATGAGAAAACTCATCATATGACCAAAAGGAGGGGGTGTTTTTAGCAACTGACCATGAAAAACACAACTTTATTAAATGGTCACAACTTCGCAGAGAGAGGTTTTGTGAAACTCCTTACGATCTAAGGAATCCCTAGCTTGCTACAAAGCGCGCGTTGTTGCAAACAGTCTAAACGAACGTCTTGGTTTTGATTGTGATGATACTTTTAGCATTGTGGTTAAACCAACCACCATTCGTATTGTTCTCATCATTTCTGTCACTCATAACAAAGGCATATTCGACAACTTGATATCAAGAATGCTTTTCTTCACAGGCATCTTCTGGAGACTGCTTACATGCATCAACTACCGGGTTTTTGGGACTTTTCCAGACCGAATCATGTATGTTTATTACATAAATCTTTATATGGGCTCAAACAGGCACCACACGCTTGGCTTCATTGTTTTGCTTCGTTTATCTATCACCTTGGTTTTGTTCACAGCAAGAGCGACTCATCTTTGTGTATTTATAGACAAGGCCCTAATTTTTCCTATCTTTTTTTATATGTAGATGATATCATTCTTACAGGATCTTTATCAGAGTTAATTACTCACATCATATCCACTCTCAATACCGAGTTTTCCATGAATGATCTGTGTAATTTGCATTATTTTTTAGGTATCTCTGCTACTCGATCTGCTGATGGCTTATTTTTGTTTCTACACAAATATGCCATTGATATTCTTGAACATCCATCCATGCTTGATTGCAAATCTACACGTACTCATGCTGATCTTTCCACGAAACTTGATGGCTCGGGTTCACCAGTTGATGATCTGAATTTATATCGTAGCCTTGTTGGTGCTCTTCGGTATGTTGCTTTTAACCGACCTGATCTTTCTTATGTCGTTCGACAGATCTGTTAATATATGCATGACCCTAGAGAGCCTCACTTCACTGCTCTCAAGTGCATTTTACATTATGTATAGGATACTACTACTCATGGATTATAGTTTTATAGCTCTCCCTCTCGTGAGCTTATTGTCTATTCTGATGAGGATTGGGGTTGTTTGTGGGATCCAGAATCTTCTTTTAGAGTTGCACTGCTCACCTGATCGAGCCCCTATTGTTTATTGTGATAATGATAGTGTTGATTTCATGCCATCTAATACGAATCAACATCAACAGACTAAGCTTATTGAGATTGATCTTCATTTTGTTTGTGACAAGGTTGCTACTGGGCACATTTGGGTTCTTCGTGTGCCTTCTTCATTTCAATATGTTGACATTGTTACCAAGATTCTCCCATCTCCAATGTTTCTAGATTTTCGGTCTAGCTTAAACACTACAGATAATCCTCTCGTTTCAACTATGGGGGATATTAACGGACCTATTGTATTTATCTAGTTATGTATTGTACTTCTAGTTTATTTGGCCCATTCTATTGTGACCCTTTTCCTTTGTGTTTTGTATATATAAACATTCCTCATTAATAAGATACCAGATATGGGAAAATACAAGGTTATACTAGCTACCTCTTTTATCATTTAAATTGTATTTCAAAAACATCATCTTCGACTATGGATTACATCACATACGTAATAAGAACCAACTACATATAAAAGAGATTTCTTACTGTCAAATATTGTATTTGAAATATATGGATTTAATGTTTTTCTAATATTAAACTTTTTACGTTATGTTTAATGGTTTTAAAGTAAGGATTTGATGTATATTTAAGCTTTCTCTAGTTTTCAATATATAAATACTTTTGGATTTTTTATGAAATGTAAACATTAGATCTTATACTAGAAAAATCCACAGGAAACCCATTGTTGTATATATTTCGTCGGTAATCCGTCACAAGATATTTGGTTGGTAATCTGTTGTGTTTTACCGACGATAAAATTTGTGGCTAAAATTTCTCGCTACGTCTGAAAAGCATCTCAAACAATTACACAATAGAAAGAAAATACAGAGGTATTTAGATTAGTTGAAATTCCATTGGTAAAACCCATAAATTATAATATATGTGAAGGATCTTCCCCAAAATTATCACTTTTGTAAATCCATATAACAAATTTACCATTTTTTTAACATATCATGATAATCACCTACTTCAAAATTGAACTACGATAGGAGTTCGAGACCTACATTGTTGCGGGTTTAGTTATTTTCATATCCCATGCTCAATTTCAAAAGGTTTCTCTACATTTCTCTCTACATGCATTTCGAAATTATGCCCCATACAGTGGAGACCATGTTCCTTCCAAGGGCAAATTTCATACCCATCCTTATAAAAATTAAATATTATATATATCTTTCAAAAGTTCATAATTACCTATATATCCTTTTTAACCTATTAAACTCACATTTATATCCTCTCTTATAATTTTTATGATATAAATTAATTTAATACCTATATATATATCTACGAAAATACTCTTTGTAAATTATATCCCAAATTAAATACTATTACTTTTTGCTAAAAATTGTTAATGAGGTGCAAAATTAACTCTCGAACCAAAATACACTATATGCTGCGTGAATAAATTTCATCTTTGGCCTCAAACATGCGATTTCATTACCGGCAATGAATAGTATGCGTTGTATATGAGAATTCGATATGTCAAAAATACTTTCTGATATATAACTAATTTAAATATAAAATCCTATTAAAGTTTCGAAGTTGCCGGTTATTTATGTATGTATCGCAAAGCTATTGAAGTAGGTATATTAATTAATGTGCATCACGGTTATTTGTAAGGTTTCAACTTTCAATTGTTTAATGAGGCTTAAATTGCATATTGTAACTATTGATTATTTGGATTTTGACGTGTTCGAGATCTTGAAGGTTTTTTGTAAATTACATGATGTTTCTCTTTATTTAATTCGGTTTAATCTTAATTGGATTCAATTTAGCTCTATTAACAAATAATATGGAAAAGTGTATTTTAGTACAATCATTCTTTATTTTGATTTTTAAATATATTTTAGGGTATTAAATTGATTTATACATCATTAAATTACAAGATTGGATATGTGAGTTTAAAAGGTTAAGAAGGATATATATATATATATATATATATATATATATATATATATATATATATATATATATATATATATATATATATATATATATATATATATATATAAACTTTACAATGATATAAACGTAATATTCAATGTTTGTAAGCACATGCATGAAATTTTTCATTTTTCGAATAAAATCAAATTTTGATCCTTTTAATCATGATTTTGAAGCATTTCTAACAATTGTAAAGGTTTGAATTATATTATATGAAATTTAAAAGTTCTATTTTTCTTATCTTAATATTTAGTTTGTTGTATAAATGTCCTATAGTGTGGAAATATCCTATAAACATATTTCAAGACGCTAAAAACAAATCAAACTCACTCAAGCCATCTACCCTACATAAATAGAACTCTCACCAAGACTCACATGAAACACACCTAACGAATGACATTAAGACTTGATATTTCACCCTCCCCTAATGTGCATCTCACAAACACAGAATCTTTTATAACACATGGTGCTTTGAAGTTCTTTTTGCAAGTAATAGTTGTCATGTCAAGTGGAAGGTTAAAGGCTTTTTGAAGTATAACTTAAGTTCTTAGGAATGACTTAATAATTTTTGTGTTAGCTCACAATATTTATTACTAGAAAGTGGTTTGGTTTACACACTTTTGATGCATGCTTGTGATGTTTAAATTTTATGTTGTTAAATTTTAGGTTTTATATATGAAAATGGTTTTTACATGTTAAATAACATTTTATCATAATTTAACATCACTTGGAGTTTGATAAATAAATATTCAAAAGATATCATAAGATGTTTATAAATGAGTTTTTTAATAAAGTGTTTCAAAACCTTTAAAATTGAGATTTAAAATTACAATTTTGAAACTCATCCAAAACTTCATATCTTAACTATAAAATGAAGTTCTATTAAAAGACTATAATCGATTCTTATAGCGCTCTAGTGCTAAATTCTAAAAATAAGATATTAGTTTATAATTGATCGTGGATAACGGTTAATAAAATGAATTTTTATTTGACACCTAAAGAATTGTATACAAATGATATAATTTTTCCAAAAGGTACATGAATTATTAGATGCATGCAATATTCATGAGACCATGTTTTTATAACTATATTTGTAAAACATATATATACAACCTTTTTCATAAAAATGAAAGTCTATGTCGTGTTTTTCGAAGAAAATTTGGTCGTTGTTTGTAGGTCCTTGTGGCACACGATGACACACCCTCGGCCGGCGGCAGAAATGCCGAGCTGTGCGACGTTAGAAGGTTGGATCACAAATATTAGACATAAATTGAATAGTACAAAATGGTATATAACTTAAATAGCATTTCCATTATGGATACAAATACTACATCATAACATACTTATAAATTACTAGAAATTCTAATACAAAATGTGCCTTGATAGGTAGGCATAACTATAATGATAATAAGTATTCGGTGACTTCTTCGATCAACCACTACATTTGGGAGTGCAATCTTCCATATTTTGGTTTCCTATGAATACATGTAATTTTGAAAATGTCAATGTAATGTTGGTGAGTTCACAGTTTTGACTATTATACTTTGAAAATACTTTTTTTATATAAGTTTGTTATGTTGTATAAGTGTTTTGATTCCTTGATTTGAAAATTGTATACTATTATCCGTAGGTACTAGGGTTTCCTTAATCCTCAATTATTCTATACACTAGTATTGAATTCATATCATAGGAGTGTATTTTTACGAAAAGGATGGTATTCTTATTTATAGTGTAGAATGACTGTGGGTGAACTTTTATACCTAATATAGGTTAAATTGGATATCTTACAATTTTAACCTATATAACTATGTACTTATGACGTAATTAGAGTATCAATGTTTATAATTATAATTAATATTTAATTTAATTGGATATTTTCATAAATCCAAACTAGCAGAGTGGTAATAAAACCATTATTCGAGCTGAATGAAGGCATAACATTCTATAGTTATCCGTCTGAATTAAGTAGAGTAACAATAAGAAATGATGCTTATTCGAGAGGTTTTGGCCATCAAACTACTAGGTACTATGTCATGCTATAGGATTGACCTAACATAAAGATTAAATACCATGTTATTTCTTTGGTCGGATCTAGGTACTATGTTAACCTAGAGAAATGGCCTAACATTACGATTAGTTGTGGTGGAACTAGCTAGTTACCAGGGGTAGCCCGTGCTACCCCTCAGATTTGTCTAAGAACCCTCGAAAATTTTGGATGTCGTCGATGATTATGTATGGTGCTACAGTTTGTGCTACTCCTTTTTCCTTGTCCTTGCCATTTTTTCTTTGTTTGCTTCTTCATCTTCACAAATTCGAAAGTAAAGGGACAGTGGACTGAAATTGATCCCTATGTCTTATTGTTCATCTTCATCATCTTCATAAAATTGATCTTTATGTCTTATTCTGAAAGGGCATAGTCATAGGGACTGGAATCAGAAGAAGAAGTGCTACTCCTAGGGGCTAATTGGAGAAGAAGAGAGCTAGAGAGAATGGATCCAATGAAGATTGCCTTTATAGAAAAAGATGAAGGTAAATGTAATTTCTCCAATTTGGAATCAAAGGTAACCCTAATTACTACGATTTCATACCAAAGCTAGAATGTAACCCTGATTTGATTCAATAGTTCTAGGTTTTTAGGTTTCTCACTTTGACTTACATAGCCTTCCAGAGTGTTTAGTGTAGATTTGTGATTGTGACTAATATTTGATAAATTTAAGGAAATTGTATTCGTTCATCCTTACCTGAAATCTACACTCATGAATGCGACTAATAAAGCTAATATATTTCTTTGTGCCAATTCCATGGAGTGTATTAGTTTGGTTGGAATGGTTGTTGGAAAAGATAAGTTCAAAGATGATGCTAAATATGTGTACTTTCGTGGGTGATAGCTATATTATATATTTAATTTACAAATGTTTTAATTTTTGCATCTTAGAGACTTATAACTTTTTACATGATTCAAGGATTCTTTTCATTTTCTATTATTGAAATTTTTTTATACTGCAAAATCATCTAGAATTAAAGTTTATAATTACCCTTCTGTTTATAAATTATGAGGACTACAAATGGCTATTGATATTGTAGCATTGAGACCATCATATTTTGAAATAAGAGAATATGGATCAAAACTAGTGTCCTTAAGGAGAAAGCTACAACATATAACATGTTATGTTGCTATGTTTATGAGCTACAACATACAACATAAGCCCAACGTACATATGTGTACGCCTAGCATACTCACATGTACGTGTAGTGTACAACTCCTGCTCCTAAAATTACAAATTTGTCACTAGGGCTTCTTGTGACCACTTCCTTCCTAAACAAGGACCAAAATTACATTCTTTAGAACCAAGAGATAAATTTGAAAGTGCCTAAAAACCAGGGAGTTACAAGAAGCGAATGATGTTCTGTTATACGCCTATGACTT